GTCTCTCTGAGAGGAGATTTGTGGCGAACTATGTCTCTCTCATGGTTCCGGCGGTTCTCTATCTCACCTTGGGGTTTTTCTGCCTTCAAAATGTAATGAAGGTTATTTTGTTGTCGTCTGGCCCGTTTCTCAGCATCTGGTGTTGGGCCCCTTCCCCTCTGAACGCCCGGTCTGTGGTATGCCATTCTCTTGGGCCATTCGTGGCTCAGCACGCGGTGTCTTCTTATTTTTTCCAAGGTGTTTTTTTGTGTTTGTCTTTTCTTTTGTGTGTGTAACGTGTCTGCATTCTTCGAGTAGCGGGAGCCGCTCGGGAGGCGCCTCAGGTGTCTGTGTTGGTTGTTGTGTCGTCCTTTTTTTCTATTTTCTTTTTTTTCTTAAAATACCTAGACTGGAAAGACAGAAGAATCACCTCGCGTGTTCAACACCAAGCTGCTGACTTAATGGGGCTGCTCCACCGTGTGTTGAGGTGTGCATTTGTTGGTGCTGGTGGTCCTTCTGCCGTCGCACCCCTGCGGTGCCGGCGTTGCCGTCTCGACGGGCACTATCGACGAGGGATCGTATGGTCAGGAGCTACTGTTCTGTGAGAGAGAGAGAGAGGGTTTGGGGGTGGGGGGGGGGGGGGTGGCGGGGACCCACGAGAGGCGCGGGGGGGGCGGGGGGGGGGGGGACCGGGGCGGGGGGGGTGACGGGGGAACCGGGGGGTGGAGGGTGGGCGGACCACGACTAGGGGGGGGGGGGGGGCGGGGGGGGGGGGGGGGGGACAGGAGACAGAGAGGGCGGGGGGGACTGGGGGGCGACCAGGGGGGGGGGGGGGAAGGGGGGGGGGGGGGGACGGGGGACCAGGAGGTGGGGGGGCGGGGGGGGGGGGGGGTGGGGGGGGTGGGGGGGGGGGGGGGGGGGACGGGGGGGACGGGGGGGGGTGGGGGGGGGGTGGGGGGGCGCCAGAGAGGGGGGGGGGGGGGGGGGGGGGGGACCAGGAGAGAGGAGAGCGGCGGGGGGCGGGACCAGAGAGGGGGGGGGACCAGAGAGCGGGCGGGGGGGGCGGGGGGGAACAGGGGGCGGGGTGGGGGGGGCCCGGGGGACCAGACGGGGCGGGGGACCCCATGAGAGAGGGGGGGCGGGCCAGAGGGGACCGGGGGGACCAGACTGAGCGGTGGGGGGGACCAGGGGGGACAGAGAGAGGAGAGAGGGACCAGGACCAGAGAGAGGGGAAGAGGGGGGGGGGGGGGCGGGGCGGGGGGGGGGGGGGGGGGACCAGAGACAGAGAACAGAGGGGGGACACAGGGGGGGGGGGGGACGGGGGGGACCAGGGGGGGGGGGGGGGGACCAGTGGGGGGGACACCAGAGAGGGAGAGTGGGGGGGGGGGTGTGGGGGGGGGGAGGGGGGGGGGGGAACACCAGGGGGGGGGGGACCAGAGAGGCGGGGGACCAGGGGGTGGGGTGGGAGGGAAGGGGGGCGCGGACCCAGAGAGGGGGGGACCAGAGAGGGGGGGGGGGGACAGGGGGGGAGGGGGGGACAGAGGGGGGGACGAGGGGGGGGGGAGCGGGGGACCATGAGAGAGAGGGGGGGGGGGGGGGACGCGGGGACCAGGGGGGGGGACACCAGAGAGAGGAGAAGGAGGGTGAGCGGGGACCAGCCAGGGGGGAGGGGACCAGAGATGCGGGACAGAGAGAGGAGAGAGGCGAAGGAGAGCGGGACCAGAGAGACGGGGACCAGAGGGGGGGCTGGGTGGAGGCGGGGGGGGACCAGAGCCAGAGGAGGATGAGACCAGAGAGAGGACGGGGGGGGGGGGCGGGTGGGGGACGAGCGGGGGAAACCAGAGGGGGGGGGACCAGATGTGGGGGGACGGTGGGGGGACCAGAGAGAGGAGAGGGGGGGACGGGGGGACCAGAGACAGGGGGGCGGGGACCAGAGGAGAGGAGGAGAGGGATGGGTGATGGACGGGGACCAGGGGACCAGGAGACCAGACACGAGAGAGAGGGGGACCTGAGAGTGGGGGGGGGGGGGGAACCAGAGGGGGGACCATTGGGGACCAGAGGGGGGGGACCCAGGGGGGGGGGACCTGGGAGGGGACCAGGGGGGGACCAGAGAGAGGGACCAGGGGGGGGGGGAGGGACCAGAGGGTGGGGGCGGGGGGACCAGGTGGGGGAGGGGGGGGAAACCAGTGGGGAGGGGACAGAGAGGGGGGGAGACCAGCGGGGGACCCTGAGGTAAGGGGGGGGGGGGGGGACCAGGGTGGAGGGGGGACCAGGGGGGGACGGGGACCGGGACCTGAGAGACGAGTGGGGGCTGGGACCAGGGGGGGGGAGGGGGGCGGGGGACCGTGGGGGGGGTTGGGGACGACCAGAGAGGGGGCGGGGGACCAAGAGAGAGGAGATAGAGGAGGGGGGGACGGGGGGGACCAGAGGGGGGGGTACCGGGAACCAGAGACGGGGACGGGAGGGGGGGGTGGGGGCGACCAGACGAGGAGACGAGAGGAGGAGAGGGGGGACGCCAGTGGGGGGGGGGACCAGCCGAGAGGGGAGAGGAGGAGGGGAGGGATGCCAGAGGGCTATGGTCGGATGCGTAGTAATTGTATGGTCAGGAGGATTACTGTACTGTTGAGGGAGGGGGGGGGGAGAGACGGGACGAGAGGGAGGGAGGGGGAACCCAGGCGTGAAGTGGGAGAGTAGAAGGGAGAGGGCGATAAGAGGGAGGTGGGGAGGGAGAGAGAGACCAGAGAGAGAGGGGGTGGGGTAGGGGGGTGAGTACCAGAGGAGCTGAGAGAGAGGAGAGGGAAGGTGGGGGGGGGGGGAGAAGGGGGGGGGGGAGCGAGGTGGGTGAATACGAAGTGGCGGAGAGCGATGAGGGTGGATGAGGAGGAGGAGGAGACCAGGAGAGAGAAGGATGAGAGAGAAGAGGATCGGAGAGGAAGACCAGAAAGGAGTAGGAGGGAGACGAGAAGGGGAGAGAAGGGCGATGAGTCCGGAGAGAGGGGAGAGGGGGGGGGATTGAGACGAGAAGGAGCGAGAAGGAAGGAGAGAGAAGGAGATGAGTCAGAGGACTGTAACTGTTGAGGAGAGAGAGAGAGGTGACGGGAGGGGGTCCGAGTGAACGGATGAGACCTGTGCGAGCGTCCCGGGAGGGAAGGCGAAGAAATCGGTCCGAGCAGGAGTGTGATCTTGGTCCAGAGAGAGAAGGCGAGAGAGGGGCGGAGGTCGGAGAGGGTAGGGCCTTCGAAGAGATGCATGGTATGGTACAGGATACTGTGCTGTGAGGCAGTACGAGACGAGAGAGGATGAGGGAAGGTGGGGGGGGGGGAGGGGAGTGAGGAGGGGGAGGGGGGAGAAGGGGGGGGGGGAAGAGGGAGGGTGAAGAAGGCAGAGAGGAGGGAGAAGAGAGGAGGAGAGAGGAGGAGGAGAGAGAAGAGAGTGAGGGATGAGAGGAGAGTGGGAGAGAAGGAGAGAGAGAGAGGGAGAGAGAGAGAAGGGAAGAGAGAGAGGGAGAGAGAGGAGAGGGAGAGAGAGGGAGAGAGAGGAGGAGAGAGAGAGAGGAGAGAGAGAGGGGAGAGAGAGAGAGAGAGAGGGAGAGGAGGAGAGAGAGAGGAGAGAGAGAGGAAGGAGAGAGAGGGAGGGAGAGGAGAGAGAGGGGAGAGAGAGGAGAGAGAGAGGAGAGGAGAGGAGAGAGAGAGGAGAGAGAGAGGAGAGGAGAGAGAGGGGAGTGAGAGAGGAGAGAGAGGAGAGAGAAGAGGGGAGAGAGGGGAGAGAGAGAGGAGAGAGGAGAGAGAGGGGGAGAGAAGAGGAGAGAGAGAGGAGGAGAGAGAGAGGGAGAGAGAGAGGGAGAGAGAGAGGGAGAGAGAGGGAAGAGAGAGGGAGAGAGAGAGGAGAGAGAGGAGAGAGAGGGAGAGAGAGAGGAGAGAGAGAGGAGAGAGGGGGAGAGAGGGAGGAGAGGAGAGGGAGAGGGAGAGAGAGGGAGAGAGAGGAGAGAGAGGGAGAGAGAGAGGGAGAGAGAGGGAGAGAGAGGAGAGAGAGAGAGAGAGGGAGAGGAGAGAGAGAGAGAGGAGAGAGAGAGAGGAGGGAGAGAGGAGAGAGAGGAGAGAGAGGAGAGAGAGAGGAGAGAGAGAGGGAGAGAGAGGAGAGAGAGAGGAGAGAGAGGAGAGAGAGGAGAGGAGAGAGGAGAGAGAGGGAGGAGAGAGAGAGGAGAGAGAGGAGGAGAGAGAGAGGAGAGAGGGAGAGAGAGGAGAGAGAGAGGAGAGGAGAGGAGGGAGAGAGAGGAGAGAGAGGAGGAGAGAGAGGAGAGAGAGGGAGAGAGAGGAGGGGAGAGAGGAGAGAGAGGAGAGAGAAGGGAGAGAGAGAGAGGGAGGAGAGGAGAGGAGAGGGGAGAGAGAGGAGAGAGAGAGGGAGAGAGAGGAGGGAGAGAGAGGGGAGAGAGGAGGGAGAGAGGAGAGAGGAGGAGAGAGAGAGAGGGAGAGGAGAGAGAGGGAGAGAGAGAGGGGAGAGAGAGGAGAGAGAGGAGAGAGAGGGAGAGAGAGAGGAGGAGAGGAGAGGGAGAGAGAGAGGGGAGAGAGAGAGAGAGGGAGGAGAGAGAGGAGAGAGAGAGGGAGAGAGGAGGAGAGAGAGGGGAGAGAGAGGAGGAGATAGGAGAGAGAGGAGAGAGAGGAGAGAGAGAGAGGAGAGAGAGGGGAGAGAGAGGGAGGAAGAGAGAGGAGAGAGAGAGGGAGAGAGAGGGAGAGAGAGAGGGGAGGAGAGAGAGGAGAGAGGAGAGAGAGAGGAGAGAGAGGAGAGAGAGAGGGAGAGAGGAGAGAGAGGAGAGAGAGGAGAGAGAGAGGGAGAGAGAGGGGAGGGAGAGAGAGAGGGAGCGAGAGAGAGGAGGAGAGAGCAGAGGAGAGAGAGAGGAGAGAGAGAGAAGGAGGGAGAGGAGAGGAGAGGGGAGGAAGAGAGAGAGGAGAGGAGGAGGGAGAGAGAGGAGGAGAGGAGGGGGGGAGAAGAGAGAGGAGAAGAGAGGAGGAGAGAGAGAGAGGGAGGAGAGAAGAGAGAGAGAGGGAGAGAGAGAGAGGTGAGAGAGGGAGAGAGAGAGAGAGAGGAGAGAGGAGAAGGCGGAGAGGAGAGAGGGAGGGGGAGAGGAGAGAGGGAGGAGAGAGAGAGGAGGGAGAGGAGAGAGAGAGAGGGAGAGAGAGAGGGAGAGAGAGAGGGGGAGAGATGAGAGGGAGAAGGAGTGGCGAGAGAGACAGAGGAGAGGGAGAGGGAGGAGAGAGAGAGATGAGAGAGGAGAGGGAGAGGAAGAGAGGAGGGGAGAGAAGAGAGAGAGGAGGGAGGGGAGGCCGGAGAGAGGAGGAGGAGGGAGACCCGGGAGAGAGGAGGGCCGTTGAGGAGGAGAGAAGAGAGAAGAGGGAGAGGTGAAGGGAGAGAAGTCCGAGACTGGAGGAGGAAGTCGAGAGTGGGGAGTGATGCCAGAGAGGGTGAGGAGAGAACGAGGGTGTGGAGGGAGGGTTAGAAGTGAGGCTGCCGGCCAGGATGCTGCGCGAGGCCGGAGAGCACGCAGAGCTGGAGAGGCGAGGAAGAGAGGAGCAGAGAGGAGAGACGGGGAGCAGAGAGGTAGGTGGAGCCAGAGGAAGAGAGAGGGAACGAGGAGAGGGACGCGCGTGAGCGACCAGATGGAGAGATGAAGAGGGAGAGTGAGAGGACAGGAGGACGAGAGAGGCACGAGGATGACGAGAGGAGGAGCCAGAGAGAGGGAGAGAGACGCGAGTGGAGCAGAGGGAGGAGAGCGGTGGAGAGACGGAGAGGAGAGAGGCGGAGATGGACAGGTAGATAAGGAGGAGGGAAGAGGTGAGAGAGAGACGAGGGACCGACAGAGTGCGTGGGAGGGCGAGAGAGACGAGAGAGAGACCAGACGGAGAGAGGACGGAGGAGGAGATTGACCACCAGGCCGCCCCAGGGGAGGGGGACCCCATGAGAGGGAGTGGGGATAGAGGGGAGTCTGGATGACTGGGGAGCCCCGATGTGAAGACAGGAGAGGGTTGGTGAGATTGAGGTGAGAGAGAGAGAGAGAGGAGAGAGGGATGGTCCGGACTACTGTCTGTGAGAGAGAGAGAGAGAGAGGGATGGTCAGGACTACTGTCTGTGAGAGAGAGAGAGAGAGAGGGATGGTCAGGACTACTGTCTGTGAGAGAGAGAGAGAGAGAGGGAGGGAGGTGGGGGGGGGGGGGGGGGGGGAGAGACCAGAGAGAGAGAGAGGAGAGAGAGGAGAGAGGGATGGGTCAGGACTACTGTCTGTGAGAGAGAGAGGGAGGTGGGGGGCGGGGGAGAGACCAGAGAGAGAGAGAGAGGAGAGAGGGATGGTCAGGACTACTGTCTGTGAGAGAGAGAGAGAGGGAGGTGGGGGGGGGGAGAGACCAGAGAGAGAGACAGGAGAGGGAGGTGGGGGGGGAGAGACCAGAGAGAGAGACAGGAGAGGGATGGGGGGGAGGGAGAGAGTGAGAGAGACCAGAGAGAGAGAAAAGGGTTGGGGGGAGAGAGGGAGACCAGAGGGAAGGGGTGGGGAGAGGGAGAAAGAGAGAAAGAGACCAAAGTGAGAGAGGAGAGAGAGAAAGACAGAGAAACGAGGGGCCAAAGAGAGAAGGAGAAAGAGAAAGAGACAGACAGACAGACCAGCCAGAGAGAGAGACTAGAGAGAAAGAGAGAGAGAGACACCAGAGATCTTCTTCTATGGTTTATACGTGCATTTATTAAGAGACGAGAGAGAGACAGACGAGCCAGAGAGAGAGAGGGGGGGGAGAGAGAGACCAAAGTGAGAGAGAGGGAGAGACAGAGAAACCAAAGTGAGAGAGAGAGAAAGACAGAGAAACAAGAGGTCAAAGACAGGAGAGAGAGAAAGATACAGACAGACAGACCAGCCAGAGAGAGAGACCAGAGAGAAAGAGAGATAGAGAGGGAGACACCAGAGACACTTCCTCTATGGTTTATACGTGCATTTATTAAGAGGTGAAAGAGAGACAGACCAGCCAGAGAGAGGGGGGAGAGAGAGAGAGGGGGAGAGAGAGAGAGGGAGAGCGAGAGAAAGACAGAGAAAGAGAGACCAAAGAGAGAAAGACAATTCCGCTGATGCAACACTGACATTTCCCCACCGTGGGACCAGCAAAGCATCTCTTCATCTCAAACAAGTCTAAAATCTCAAACTTTATCATAATAAAGAATCAAGTGTGTAACTTTTGGTGCAATGCAGAGTAAATCTTAAACTGCGGGAGGTCGTCTGAGTTAAAGAAGTAAAGCGTGTTTCGTCTGAACTCACTACAACTTTCTTATTATTTTTTTTTTTTCCCGGGATCCAGCGAGACTTTGTGTTACGTACGAAGAGACAGATCGGCCTGAACAACTGGACCAGATGTTGAGTTTAGCCGTGCGCACATTTAGCCACTTTTGTCCTTGACCTAACGCGATAATAAAGCAGCTGTTTCACTTTTACTTCTGTTACATGACAGATTTAACCCGTGGGCCTCAAAGTCACTCCATGTGGGGGCTATACCTACTTTTTTTCTATTTAAATCTTGTAGATAATGTTTTTTAAACTATTTTTTACATGTTTACATTCCCGGTGTTGCACATTTCCTGTCTCTTTGCACAAAATGTATAAATCTCTTTAGACTAATAAGTCCATAAGTTGTGACTGGTTAAGTTTTAGGTGTCTGTGTAAGATGGTTAAGGTTAGGGTTAAGGTGGTCTGAGTAAGATGGTTAAGGTTAGGGTTAAGGTGGTCTGAGTAAGATGGTTAAGGTTAGGGTTAAGGTGGTCTGAGTAAGATGGATAAGGTTAGGGTTAAGGTGGTCTGAGTAAGATGGTTAAGGTTAGGGTTAAGGTGGTCTGACTAAGATGGATAAGGTTAGGCTTAAGGTGGTCTGAGTAAGATGGTTAAGGTTAGGGTTAAGGTGGTCTGAGTAAGATGGTTAAGGTTAGGGTTAAGGTGGGTCTGAGTAAGATGGATAAGGTTAGGGTTAAGGTGGGTCTGAGTAAGATGGTTAAGGTTAGGGTTAAGGTGGTCTGAGTGAGATGGTTAAGGTTAGGGTTAAGGTGGGTCTGAGTAAGATGGTTAAGGTGGTCTGAGTAAGATGGTTAAGTTTAGGGTTAAGGTGGTCTGAGTAAGATGGTTAAGGTGGTCTGAGTGAGATGGATAAGGTTAGGCTTAAGGTGGTCTGAGTAAGATGGTTAAGGTTAGGGTTAAGGTGGTCTGAGTAAGATGGATAAGGTTAGGCTTAAGGTGGTCTGAGTAAGATGGTTAAGGTTAGGGTTAAGGTGGTCTGAGTAAGATGGTTAAGGTTAGGGTTAAGGTGGGTCTGAGTAAGATGGATAAGGTTAGGGTTAAGGTGGTCTGAGTAAGATGGTTAAGGTTAGGGTTAAGGTGGTCTGAGTAAGATGGTTAAGGTTAGGGTTAAGGTGGTCTGAGTAAGATGGTTAAGGTTAGGGTTAAGGTGGTCTGAGTGAGATGGTTAAGGTTAGGGTTAAGGTGGGTCTGAGTAAGATGGTTAAGGTGGTCTGAGTAAGATGGTTAAGGTTAGGGTTAAGGTGGTCTGAGTAAGATGGTTAAGGTGGTCTGAGTGAGATGGATAAGGTTAGGGTTAAGGTGGTCTGAGTAAGATGGTTAAGGTTAGGGTTAAGGTGGTCTGAGTAAGATGGTTAAGGTTAGGGTTAAGGTGGTCTGAGTGAGATGGTTAAGGTTAGGGTTAAGGTGGGTCTGAGTAAGATGGTTATGGTTAGGGTTAAGGTGGTCTGAGTAAGATGGTTAAGGTGGTCTGAGTAAGATGGTTATGGTTAGGGTTAAGGTGGTTTGAGTAAGATGGTTAAGGTTAGGGTTAAGGTGGTCTGAGTAAGATGGTTAAGGTTAGGGTTAAGGTGGTCTGAGTAAGATGGTTAAGGTTAGGGTTAAGGTGGTCTGAGTAAGATGGTTAAGGTTAGGGTTAAGGTGGGTCTGAGTAAGATGGATAAGGTTAGGGTTAAGGTGGTCTGAGTAAGATGGTTAAGGTTAGGGTTAAGGTGGTCTGAGTAAGATGGTTAAGGTTAGGGTTAAGGTGGTCTGAGTAAGATGGTTAAGGTTAGGGTTAAGGTGGTCTGAGTGAGATGGTTAAGGTTAGGGTTAAGGTGGGTCTGAGTAAGATGGTTAAGGTGGTCTGAGTAAGATGGTTAAGGTTAGGGTTAAGGTGGTCTGAGTAAGATGGTTAAGGTGGTCTGAGTGAGATGGATAAGGTTAGGGTTAAGGTGGTCTGAGTAAGATGGTTAAGGTTAGGGTTAAGGTGGTCTGAGTAAGATGGTTAAGGTTAGGGTTAAGGTGGTCTGAGTGAGATGGTTAAGGTTAGGGTTAAGGTGGGTCTGAGTAAGATGGTTATGGTTAGGGTTAAGGTGGTCTGAGTAAGATGGTTAAGGTGGTCTGAGTAAGATGGTTAAGGTTAGGGTTAAGGTGGTTTGAGTAAGATGGTTATGGTTAGGGTTAAGGTGGTCTGAGTAAGATGGTTAAGGTGGTCTGAGTAAGATGGTTAAGGTTAGGGTTAAGGTGGTCTGAGTAAGATGGTTAAGGTTAGGGTTAAGGTGGTCTGAGTGAGATGGTTAAGGTTAGGGTTAAGGTGGGTCTGAGTAAGATGGTTATGGTTAGGGTTAAGGTGGTCTGAGTAAGATGGTTAAGGTGGTCTGAGTAAGATGGTTAAGGTTAGGGTTAAGGTGGTCTGAGTAAGATGGTTATGGTTAGGGTTAAGGTGGTCTGAGTAAGATGGTTAAGGTTAGGGTTAAGGTTGGTGGTCTGAGTAAGATGGATAATGTTAGGCTTAAGGTGAGTCTGAGTAAGATGGTTAAGGTTAGGGTTAAGGTAGTCTGAGTAAGATGGTTAAGGTTAGGGTTAAGGTGGTCTGAGTAAGATGGATAAGGTTAGGGTTAAGGTGGTCTGAGTAAGATGGTTAAGGTTAGGGTTAAGGTGGTCTGAGTAAGATGGATAAGGTTAGGCTTAAGGTGAGTCTGAGTAAGATGGTTAAGGTTAGGGTTAAGGTGAGTCTGAGTAAGATGGTTAAGGTTAGGGTTAAGGTGAGTCTGAGTAAGATGGTTAAGGTGGGTCGAATTGTAAGGTGAATTGCAGTAATATGTAGAACGTTGAGATAACTATAGATCCTATTTATGGTTCCATATTTGAAATCGTTTACATCATTTTTATACATAAAAACACCGCCACCATTAATGTCTTTTCCGATGATAGAAGTTCAGTTTAAGGTTTAAATCCGCCTCACCTCTTTGAGCGGGTCGTTGAGTTCACTTAAGATGTTTTCCTCGTCGAAGATCTTCCCTTGGTACCGATGCTCGTAGTAGTCGTGGATCTTCTGGCGCATGTCGGCCGGAAGTTTGTGGAACGACATGTACTGTTCCACTTGTTTGTACTGAGAAAAGAATGTAGAGAAAGTTAAGAGACGAAACTGGAGAAACACAAAAACACAGAGGTTTAAAGTAATGTGGAGCAAAGTGAAGGCGGAAATTCAGCCCTCACCCAATCATCAGTCATTCCTCACCCAATCATCAGTCATTCCTCACCCAATCGTCATTCAACCCTCACCCAATCGTCATTCCATCCACACCCAATCATCAGTCAATCCTCACCCAATCATCAGTCAATCATACGTCAATCCACACCCAACCCTCACCCAATCGTCATTCCATCCACACCCAATTGTCAGTCAACCCTCAGTCAATCATCACCCAATTGTCACTCCCTCCTCAGTCAATCATCACCCAATCCTTACCCAATTGTCACCCAATCCTTACCCAATTGTCACCCAATCATCACCCAATTGTCAGTCATTCCTCACCCAACCATCACCTGGCAGCCATCTACCACTATCCTGCATCAAGCTCCTATCACGAACAAGTTTCATACAAACCGCAGCTTTCATTCATGCAGCAACCCTTCTCCTCCCCATCTCGGACCAGCTCTATTAAATTTGAAATTATTCTTGTATAAACCCTAAATCACAACCGTAGTTATCTCGGAGGATTTTACAAAACTGTTGAATTCGCCAACAACAGATCAGAGAACCAAACACAGTTCAAACATCCATCCATTTTCTACCCTTTAATCCATTTCTGGGTCAGGGGGGTGGCAATCAGAGATGCCACCCAAGTCTCATAGCACCAGCCCCTCACTGACCCTCTGCAGGTGGTGAGTCCACAGGAGGACGGCTGCTCTCTGAGTGTGAGCATAGCCTTGATCTTTCAGTGGGGGCTTTGGGCAAAGTGGGGTTAAGTGTCTTGCCCAAGGACACAACGACAGCAGTCATCAGTGGGAGTCGGTGGAGAAGGTGCAGAGGTGGGAATTGAACCCACGACCTTCTGGGCTTAAGGCCAATGCTCTACCAACTGAGCTACTGTCGCCCAGTTCAAACACAAGAAGAAAAAAAAAAAAAAACACATTGGTATTTGTCTGTTAGTGGCAGATGACCAATGTCCATAAGTGATAATAAATGCACATAAATGTTGTTGAATGTTGAGGGTCCTGGATCATTCACTGTCCTTTTAGTTAGACCCTCACAAGGTTCTAACAGACCCTCATGCAGCAACCCTCCTCCTCCCCATCTCTGCCTTGTCGATCGGACCAGCTCTTCTTCCCTTCTCCTCGCTCCCACCACCAGGATCCAGGCCCCGGGGGATTTCCTCTGATAATCTCTATCTTAATTTCCATTCCGCAATCATTATGCCGTGTTCTGCCGGGGTCTAATCGCCAAATCTTAAACGCATTTATTGTATAGTATGCAATGTAATCTGGCAAATATTGTCTTCAGAGTAAATAAAATGCCAGATAAAGAGTTCATGGGGGCGACAGTAGCTCAGTTGGTAGAGCAGGGGTGCTCACACTTTTTCAGCATGCGAGCTACTTATAAAAGGATCAAGTCAAAATGATCTACCTACTACAAAAATGCAAATCATATATTTCAAAAAATATTCTTTATATCTACAATGTATGTTTATGTACATGCAAAACCGCATGAGCATAGCACAACACAACACAATTACCTATGTACATTTTTTGTCATTTCCCGAGTTTACTCTTATGACTTGCACTGAATTGAATCGGCCAGGGATGCATAGTCCGGAAAATTGGTGGTAACTCGCTGACAAGTTTGTCGTGGTTTTGCTTTCCTGCACTGAGCGCGGTTGTTTGCGCATGTGCAGTCACCTAAGTGTCAGTAAAACATTACTGAGTAAAACACAGATGTCATTTGACTGTGGTGCCATGTCCATGTGCCATGCCTGTTTTTTTTAAATCCAAATATTTCCCCTCCTCCGTTTATAAAATAATTTGCATCCACACATCTGCGTTATCAATCACATTCGTAACATTCCAAACATGTGCGTCTCTTACGTCCTGTCCTGCGTTGGGGAAAAACACAGAAGTGGGCGGAGTTCTGATGCAGACGCCGGTAACGGCACTTTTACAGTCATAGAAGACACTCAGAGTAAAGACGTATGTTTACAAGCACTGACCCCGTCCTCAGCCCTGGTTTAGTCCTGATTTAGTCCTGGTTTAGTCCTGGTTTAGTCCTGGTTTAGTCCTGGTTTAGTCCTGGTTTGGTTGTTTTCGAGCGTGAGTCCCCGCGATCACTTTGCTGCCCTCTGATGTGGAGGATGTTCGCTGCTGCGAGCATCTCACAGCGAACAGTTTTTAAGGTAGTATGATCCATGCTTCAGTGATCAGAGGAATTTAGGGGGTACTGTGGCGTGCGAGAACGCAAAACTCTGGTTATCTCTGTCTACACACAAATGCATTAACGGAGTTTTCAAAAATCTCCACTTTGCCCGGAGTTTTTTGTATATATTCGTTTAGAATGTGTAATTTTTTATTTATTTAATGCGATCTACCAATACTACCTTTGCGATCGACTGGTAGATCGCGATTGACGTATTGAGCACCCCTGTGGTAGAGCATTGGCCTTTGGTTCGAGGCCGTTGGTTTGAGCCCACCTCAGGACCTACTCCAACTGCTCCCACTAATGTCTACTGTCGTTGGGCAAGACACTTAACCCCACATTGCCTGAAGCCACCACTGATGTATCAGCGATCTTCCTGTGGACTCAGAGGATCAGAGGGACTGGTGCTTTGAGCATTGGGTGGCAGCTCTGATGGCCACCCCCCCCGACCCAGAGATGGACTAATAAAGAGGTAGAAAATGAATGAATAATGAGTTCATATACTTTCCTTTAAAATAATAATAATAATATAAAAATAAGTAAAGTGAGCAAAAAATTACATTGTTCTAGCAAATATATATTTTGAGTTTGAAATCAGTCATATGTATTTTATTTTATTTTTTACAGAGTTGTTGTGTTTCAGTAGCTAATGACCTGTATGTGACGTGATGTCAGGAGGTTGTCATTGGTTGTAATGCGGTCAGTGAATGTAAAATCCGTAATTAATCAGAAAAATACATTAGAATAGTCTTGTGTTCTCATTTATGCCGTGTCAGCTCCTTTCCAACCATTACACACTAATAATAAAATCCCTGTTTGGTTCGAGTCTCCCCACATTGAGGTATCATTTGGGTGTCGTGTGCAGAGAATGTTTGCCCTGTTTGTGCCATTGTGAGCCTCCTGCACTGTCCCAGGCGTGTGTGTAGCTGTGTGTGCGTCTCTGCGTGCGTGTGTGTGTGTGTGTGTTGGTATGCAGAAGGCAGGTGGTGAAGGAAAGTAGGAACAAGTACAGGCCCTCGGCGATGTCAGACCAAGGTAGCAGCGCTGAAATTCTCATGCAGCTCATGAGCCGTGTCCGATCGGAAAAAAACAAAGTCATGATCCGAAGTGAATCACAACACACAAGAACACACAATAACACACACGTACAAGAGCAACGACCACGAGCAAAACTGTGCGAGACGCTGGAGGAAAGACGATGTGTTTCTGTGATTCACTAACTTGGCACGATTAAATATGAAATCTAATGTTTATTTTTCTGTGGAATGATTCAAACAAGGGTCAGTCAAGAGATGGGCTGCATCCAGTTTGCACACAGAGGACATTTACAAAAGATCCATCAATCAATCCACGTGTGTTTCTATCACGCACAGTATACGTTTATAAAATGCAACGCAAAATGTTTCCCACGCTGCAAAAAGGGATGAATAATAAGTCAAAAATGGCTCAAATATGGTAAAATGTGTTTTAATTTTAGCACATTCTGACTGCTTCAAAACAAGATTTGCCAATGGGACAAAGCAAAATGGTTTAGTTTTAAAAAGATACAAGAAATATCTCCCTGGTTCTTCAAATTAGACTAGATAAGTTTGTCCCTTTTGAGAATCTTAGTCAGAATGTGCTCAAATCAGGAGAAAAAACACTCGATTCAAGCATTTATACAAGTTATCATTTTCTGCAGTGTATTTACGTTTAAAATCCACACTGTAAAAAAACATACAATTGTCCAAACGAGCGGAGAGGACGTGTTCATCAGGGAAGATTCAAGAAGGAAAACTAGCACTCGTCTGCACTGATGAATCTAAACACCTGGACCAGCACCTGGAAGCTTTAATGGTCCGCGTGTCAGAGACCAGCTGCAGATGGTTTAATGGTCCGTGTGTGAGAGACCAGTGCAGATGGTTTAATGGTCCGTGTGTGAGAGACCAGTGCTGCTGCTTTAATGGTCTGTGTGTAGAGACCAGTGCAGATGCTTTAATGGTCCACATGTGTAGAGACCAGTGCTGCTGCTTTAATGGTCTGTGTGTAGAGACCAGTGCAGATGCTTTAATGGTCCACGTGTGAGAGACCAGTGCAGCTGCTTTAATGGTCCGCGTGTGAGAGACCAGTGCAGATGCTTTAATGGTCCGTGTGTGAGAGACCAGTGCAGATGCTTTAATGGTCCACATGTGTAGAGACCAGTGCTGCTGCTTTAATGGTCTGTGTGTAGAGACCAGTGCAGATGCTTTAATGGTCCACGTGTGAGAGACCAGTGCAGCTGCTTTAATGGTCCGCGTGTGAGAGACCAGTGCAGATGCTTTAATGGTCCGTGTGTGAGAGACCAGTGCAGATGCTTTAATGGTCCGTGTGTGAGTGACCAGTGCAGATGCTTTAATGGTCCGTGTGTGAGAGACCAGTGCAGATGCTTTAATGGTCCACATGTGTAGAGACCAGTGCAGCTGCTTTAATGGTCCGCGTGTGAGAGACCAGTGCAGATGCTTTAATGGTCCGTGTGTAGAGACCAGTGCAGATGCTTTAATGGTCCGCGTGTAGAGACCAGTGCAGATGCTTTAATGGTTCGTGTGTGAGAGACCAGCTGCAGATGCTTTAATGGTCCGCGTGTGAGAGACCAGTGCAGATGCTTTAATGGTCCGCGTGTGAGAGACCAGTGCGGATGCTTTAATGGTCCACATGTGTAGAGACCAGTGCAGCTGCTTTAA